AGCCTTGAACTTCAGTCCTGACTTGGAGTCCCACACAGGGGTGGTGAGAGGTTAGGGCACAGGGGCAGGGCCATGTCACTTTGAGAAGGGGGAACCTCTTCCTGATGCCAGGAAAGTTCCTGGAATAACATGGTTCCTTGTTTGGGTTTTAAGTTTTCAGTTGCTTAGCAGCTGAAAACAATGGTTATTCATTATTTCCTGTAGGACAGAAGCCTAGCAAGGTGTGGCTGGGTTCTCTGCTCAGCCTACAGTCAAGGTGTTGGCCACGGCATCTAGAACTCAAGTACCTTCCCAGGTCATCCCTGTTATTGGCAGAATTCATCTGCTCGTGGTTGTAGGGCTGAGGTGCCGGCTTCCTCGCTGGCTGTCCTTTGAGTGTCACTCTTAGCTCGTAGAGGCCACTCTCACTGCTCATCTGGGCAGCAGTGACATAGCAACCTCTGGCTTCGGCTTCTACTGCAGCTAGAGAAAACTCGCTGCTTTTAAAGAGCTCACCAGATTGGGTCAGGCCCACCAGGATCATTCCCATGTCATAAATAAGGTCAACTGACTTGGGACTTTAGTTACATCTGCAGAATCTCTTCACAGCAGCACCAAGATTAGTATCTGGTTGAATAATCAGGGAATCTTGAGACCATCTTCAGAATTCTGCCCACCACAGCTTTAGAAATAGCGGTCTGGCTGTGGATAACATACTGAGAGGGGAAAGATGAACAGCCCCTGATAGAAGCTGTTGCAATAATCCTGAAGGAAGATAGTGGCGTGGGCCCGAGGAACGGGCTGTGGGTTACATACGGGGGTGAGGCCAAAGGTCAGCATGAAGAAGTCTTGCTGACTAACTATGGGTGGTCGGAAAAGTCATGGCGCATGTTTGCAACAGATGGCACAAGTTCATTTTTGGAAGTACTAGAGTCACTCGCATCTATGTTATTGCTATGTCATTTGACAGCTGACAGTTCTAGCTTCATTCTAAAAAAATCTGAGCAATTTGGTTGAATTTTGGAGATTTTACAACAAGTTGAAGATGAAAGGCCAAACTGTGCATTTTTGCCATATTTTACTGTTTTACTTCCATAAAGGGAAGAATGCACGTCAAGCTTGTGAAAAGTTGCATAAAGTTTACGGTGACAAAGCTCTACACGGACGTCAGTGCCAACGGTGGTTCACGAAATTCCGTGGTGGTGATTTTGATCTCAACGACACTCCTCGGTCAGGGAGGCCCACCAAGATTGATGACGACAAAATAAAGGCATTGATGGAGTCAAACCCACTTTACATGACACAAGACATTTCAGGAACATTGAACATCCATCATTCAAGTGTTCATGACCACCTGAAGAAGCTGGGATACATAAGCCAGCTCAATATTTGGGTTCCGCATGAACTCAAAGAAGTTCATTTGATGGCGGGTGTAAACATCTGCAATATGCTCATTAAACATGAGGAAAACGATCCTTTTTTGAAGCGACTGATAACTGGTGATGAGAAGTGGATCGCTTACAACAATGTGGTGTGCAAAGTCTTGGTCCCGACGTGATGATTCGCCTCAAATGACATTGAAAGCAGACATTCATCAGAGGAAGATTATGCTCTCTGTGTGGTGGGATTTTAAAGGTGTCGTGTTTTTCAAGCTCCTACCAAGGAACCAAACAATCAATTCGAATGTGTACTGTTGTCAATTGGACAGTTTGAACGAATCCATCACCCAGAAACGTCTAAAGCTTGTTAACTGTAAAGGAGTTGTGTTCCATCGCAACAACGCGAGACCACACACAAGTTTGATCACACGTCAAAAATTATTGGAGCTTGGATGGGATGTGATCCCACACCCACCATACTCGCCTGAACTTGTGCAGTCAGACTTCCATTTGTTTCGCTCAGGGGGAAGGAAGACAGCTGTGGGCACAGCCACACGTGGGCTTGGGAGTTTGCTGGAGGAAGGTTGGGGAGACCTAGCCTCAAAGGAGGCAGAGGGGTCACTTCTGGGAATAAAGGAGAAGGGAATAGGTCTGAGAAGAGCACCTTCCACTTAGGGAAAGGCAGCAGAAACCCAGAGGAGGGCCCAGGGCCCCGGGGAAGCCGGCTTCTCTGAAAGCAAAGCCTTTCTCCTTGTTCTTTCTTCCGCCTGAGGTTTTTTTTTTCCTCTTAGAAAAATTCTCGCCAGAGTTCCATCCAAGGCCGACTTGAATGTGAAACCATTTGTCCCCACAATGACTGTCCTCCATCTACTGACACGCATATCATGAGTCCGATCTGTTGGAAGATAAGAAAGCTATTACAGTAGAGGTGGAAGGTGGGCTCTGGGCTCAGAATGCAAAGAAGGGTGATTAAAATATGGACATTCCGGCACAGCACAAATAATAATGATTTTTATAAAGTAACATTGAGGGCAATTACACAGAGGTTCATCTGATTTTCTTAGAGGTCCTGAAACTCACAAGTGTTAAAGACTTCACAATTTTAATAGAAAGAAAGGCTATTGAAGTTAAAGGGTATTTGGCAAGAAGTGTCATCTTTTTTTAATCCCCTTACCTTGCAAGAGATGACCCCAGCTGTCTTTTACAATTCAACGTCTCTGATGTGATTATCACAGGAGTGCAGTTACCAGTAGATAAAATCAATTCTTTCTCCCAAATCACTGTCATTCTACCAAGATGAGCGTCTTCTATGTTCAAAGCCTTGGACAATCAACATCCCCACACCGAGCAGCAGTGTTCTTCTGGTACCTTCACAGCCGTTACACCTCAGCTGCTGGAACAAACGGAAGTCCTGTGGGTCCTTGTGGACTCAGGCCACGCAGGTAAGCCCCCCACACACACCCACACACACCTGGCTGCACTTCCCATCTTCATGCTCTTTCTCCATTATCCCCTCATCTGCGTCAAAGCAGAGGTGTGTGGCCTCTGCCATGTTTCATTCTCCTGGAGCGTGGTTTCTGGCAAGCTGCCTCCTAACCAGCAACCATTTCAAAATGTCAAGTGCGGAACCTGCTTGGACTCTCAGCAAACGACAGCCGTTACATATGGCGGGGGGAGGCTATGTATATATGTACAACATAGTCACCCACACACCAGTTGTCCCACACTGAACACACCTATGTCATGCCTGCAACCACATTTGCTGATGGAAAGACACTTTCATTAAGATGCAGTCACCAAAAGTCCTGACACACCTGCAGAGACAGCATGTGTTTGAAATTGTGAGGACATATTGAAAATCTCTAAGCTGAGAGGCAGACGGTTGGTTCTGGGGACTGTTTTTGGTAGAAGAAAAAGCAGGGGAGCGTTTCTTACCCTGAGTCCTCCGCCTCCCCAAACTGTCCTCGCAGTGATGGGCCGGGCACTTCTGAAGGGTGCTGGGGTCCCACACGTGGACTCCCTTTGACAACAATTAGAAATTCGGGGCCTTTCC